TACTGTTAATGCCATTAAGGCCATGTCTTCCAACATGTGACCAGTGTATATGTAAAGATTGTGTTCGGTGTGTCTTCGAATTTTATAATATTCATTCAAAAAACATTTTCTGATCAAAAAAATTGATGGTTGAATAGAGGTTTTGCGGCCTTTCATGCGTTAGGAGTTTGGAAACTTTGTGTTTCAAAAACCGCCACACATTTCTTAGCAGTAGTTTTAACTGCTTCGAAAGGTCGTCATTTTCCATTAACGTTTTAAGGACATATCTAACCTTTAAAATGCTAGAGGTAAAAATTTCCCAAGGCAAAGAACCCGTTGAGCTTTGGAAAACCGTACCAATTTTTCAAAAACGATTGAAAATATTGGAACATTTGCTGTGAACTTCCCGATAAATCCAGAGCTACCTTTCTTTCATTGGGTTTAAACAGATTTTCCTAACCTCTAAAGAGACAAAAACAAAATCTATTAAATGCTGAAAGATCTGCATTTTCAAATTGGAAGTTGTTGAAACTTTCTGAACCAGGGTTATTGATTTTTTGAAAAAGCGATTCAAAAGCGCGTTTTTGCGTTGTAGGGCTTAAACCGCCTTTTCTAACCTCTAAAGAGACAAACACAAAATAAGTATGTAAAATTTCTGAAGATTTTCATTTTTAAATTAGATGTTGAAAATTTCTGAACAGTCGTTTGAGGTTTTGTGAAAGAGCGATTTTTCTCGTTAGGGCTTAAAGCGCTTTTTCTAACTTCTAAAGGACAAACGCAAAATCGGTAAAATTGCTGAAAATTTTCCTTTTGAAATCGCAAGCTGTAGAAACTTTCTGAACAATCGTTATTGATTTTTTGAAAAAGCGATTTAAAAGCGCGTTTTTGCGTTGTAGGGCTTGAAACGCCTTTTCTAACCTCTAAAGAGACAAACACAAAATATGTAAAATTTCTGAAGATTTTCATTTTTAAATCAGATGTTGAAAATTTCTAAACAATCGTTTGAGGTTTTGTGAAGGAGCGATTTTTCTCGTTAGCGCTTAAAGCGCTTTTTCTAACTTCTAAAGGACAAACGGAAAATCGGTAAAATTGCTGAAAATTTTCGTTTTTAAATCGGAAGCTGTACAAACTTTCTGAACAATCGTTATTGATTTTTTGAAAAAGCGATAAACACAAAATCTGTAAAATTTCTGAAGATTTTCATTTTCAAGTCAGATGTTGAAAATTTCTGAATAATCGTTTGAGGTTTTGTGAAAGAGCGATTTTTCTCGTTAGCGCTTAAAGCGCTTTTTCTAACTTCTAAAGGACAAACGCAAAATCGGTAAAATTGCTGAAAATTTTCATTTTGAAATCGGAAGCTGTTGAAACTTTCTGAACAATCGTTATTGATTTTTTGAAAAAGCGATTTAAAAGCGCGTTTTTGCGTTGTAGGGCTTAAAATGCCTTTTCTAACCTCTAAAGAGACAAACACAAAATCTGTAAAATATCAGAAAATTTTCATTTTAATTTTTAAATCGAAAGTTGTTCAAAATTTCTGTTCAATCGTTAGAGCTTTTTTGAAAGAACGATTCAAAAGGGGTTTTTTCTCCTTTGGGCTTAAAACGCTTTTTCTAACCTCTCAAGAGACAAACGAAGAAACGGTAAAATGCAGAGTCGCTCTGCAGAGTTTCATTTTTAAATCGGACGCTGCTGATTTCTGAACAATCGTTGGAGATTTTGTGAAAAAGCGATTTCCAAGCAAATGTTTTTTTCATTCAGCTTTAAGCGTTTTTTATCCTCCCAAGAGACAAACGCAAAATCGGTAAAATTTCTGAAAATTTTCATTTTTAAATCGCCAGTTGTTGAGAATTTTGAGAAGAAGCAAGTTTTTCCTCCTTTAGCCTTCAAGCGCCTTTTTCTAAGCTCTAAGGAAACTAACGCAAAACTATAAAATACCTAAGAATTTTTTTAAATTTGGAAGCTGTTGAACATTTCTAAACAATCATTAGAGCTTTTTTGAAAAAGCGATTCAAAAGCGCGTTTTTACTTTATTGGGCTTAAAGCGCCTGTTCCAACCTCTGAAGCGACAAAGCTAAAATCGGTAAAATTTCTGAAGATTTTCATTTTCAAATTGGACGCTGCTGATTTCTGAACAATAGTTGGAGATTTTTTGGAAGAGCGATTGAAAAGTTCGTTTTTCCTTCATTGGAATCCATCTTCTTAAAGCGCGTTTTCCAGCCGCTGAAGCAAAATCGATGAAACCAGTGATTTTTTTTTAAGTCAGAGACTTGAAAGTTTCGGATCGTCATAAATCTTAGTTTCTGAATGCGCTGCTCAAGAGCTATCAGTTGGAAAAAGCGCCTGAAAAGCCGTATCTTTTCTTTACCTCTAAAAGAGCAAAACTGAAAGTTTTCCATTTGTATGTGAAAAACGTTGGAACATGAACAATCAATTTCCATTTCGCCATCATGAAAAACAGCGAGTCGACATTGACCCTGCCATCCAGACACATTCCCTGGAAAATCTAATTCTGTCGCCGTTATTATAATAATGGTGTATCTTTAGATAAATTTAACACCGGCATTCATTCAAGAAGGAGAAAATTCTCGGAATGTCGCTGATGAGCGTCCCGTTAAACAAATAAGACCGATTCCTTCGGACGGATTCACATGCAGGTAAATTTGCCCAAGACTTAAGGGGCTTAAATACGAGCGGCCCTTTTGGCGTCTTTTGCCAGAAATCGGCCTTTGCCGAAAGTTTCCATTGTCCGTTTTTTTGAGTGTCAGTTTTCCCCATAGGAATGAAAAATTTTACCTGCCAATTACATGGTCTGTTAGTGTTAAAGCTAAGACTTTGATCGAGTAACCGTCCGTAATCAGTAAAGTAGATTGTTCTAATCGGAAAGAGCGTGTATTATTGCATGAGGTCAACAACCAGTAAAGAGCTTACGTAACATAAAGTGTAACGGAGCCCAAATATGGGAAATTATCTTAACAAAACTGTGATTGATGGGATGGAAGCGGGAATAGGGAAAGTAGTTTGTATGCAATTTAGTGGAAAATGCCCTCATGGTCTAGCTTCAATTTACTGAAGAATTGCTTAGGCTCTTTCCCACATAGCAAAATGATATTCCCAGAATATACCTGGAACGTTCATGTGATGTACATGCATATTCCTGGGACATACATGAGTTACATTATGAACATTCCATGTCAGAGT